AAAGCAGATTCTAACATTGGACTGGTGTGTGCTGATGATTTCTGAATACGCCAGCAGCTAGACTATGGTTTTCACTATGAAAAGGGGCTAATAAAAATGAGAGGAAAAAACACTTCTCTGCCTTTTCAAGCAGTAATTTAAACCCCCAAGCTCGAAATCAAGATGAAAAAGTTCCAAATTGATTAATATGGAAATTACCAAACCATCGAAACTGCTGATGTCGTAAACAAAATTCGTCAACAGCCACTAAGAATTCATTAAAAGTAAATTTATTGTTTGTTTAAAAATCAACTGTGCAATATGTGCTTCTCGAGACCTTTTTGAATCTGGTTTGTTGTTCATCTCTTCTCAGGCTTCAGTTTGGCAAGGCTAAATGAGAAACACGGTATAGACACACAGTTAGTAAGTACAGGTAAGGGAAGCAACAATCATTCCTGTTTGTTATTCTCTCAAAGCCTAAAGAGTGTAATCCAAGCTACAACATTAAGTCTTAAAATCTGATCATGTTCATTGTGTTCTGAAAACTATCATATTCTAAAAGGGAAAAGATAGCAGTGTATCTGATTTCAACCAAACAAGGTTTCAAACTAAATTACCTATTTCCTCTTACAGAACTAAAAACAAGGCTGCAGGGACCCAGGTAATCATTTTAAGTGTAATTGGAGGATTCAATTTTAATGGTAATATTGCAACATTACTTTTGCTTTAGCTTTCCACAGCGATAGGTTCTCAGCTGTCACATATGGACAAAAGCATAAAATGAACCTGAGATGTGACAGTGAGGTCACTTCTAAGAAACCTTCAGTTTGAGATGGATACAATTCTACGACATGCAAAATAAAACTATTCTAATCTTTTAGGCAAAGCAATATCAAATTGTACTTACTCCAGAGCTGAAAAAAAGGGCAACACATAATTTTTAACACTTACTATCTGAGAATATTGTCCTAATACAGGGTTTTATTATTGTGTGGATTATTTCAATTTGAAGATGGAAACCAGGCAAAAGCATGTTGCCGAATAATGCTGTTGCTTTCCTTCAAACAGGAACACATTTAAAACATTAAATAATAGATCTCTCTCCTTCTAAAGGACAGATTTAGTTTCTTCCCTCTTTAAGGACAATTTCATACAACGCAGAATTCTCAAAAATATTTTATAGTATTAAATTTGAATAGCCAAGCATCTGAGAATCAAACATAAACAAAGACTCAAAATTCCAGACCCTCCCTCTGTTCTGCACTTTGCACAAAGAATGATTACATTTACAAGTCATGTTTACCTATTTAGTAAGCACACTCTGGTTTCTTAGCTACAAAGCCATTTTAATTAAGGCAATAGGAGTTCCTTATGTGCAAAAGAAGATGTAGTATATACAATAAGAAACTCATACAAACGTGAAACACTTTACATTTGTTATTTTTCTTATAGCTTAAAATTTGTGATTTAAAACTTTCATTAAGACCAGCTTTTGCACTTCATATACTCCATAATTTATTAACAGAAGAGTGATTCATATGACTCAAAACATTCTTTCCTAGAGCTATTTTTCAATAATTAAATCATCTTTGTGACTACCATTCAATGTGTGAAATAGAAAACTATGTCATCTGTATATACCAATAAATAAAAATACCTACGCAAGGTGCCATGGTTTCCTCTGGTGCCCTTTTAAAAACAGGGTCCGTATATTTGGCCCTCTTCAAATTGAACCCAAAATCACAGACAATCTATAGGGGGAGGAAGAGAGTGTGTGTGTTTGCGGGGGGGCTGTGGAGGGAGATGGTGAGGAGGAGAGCCGGTGAGCCTGTTTTTAAAGGAAAACATATTATTACCTCCTCGAGCGACTAAAGAGAAAAAGCTCATATGCTCAGAAAGTTAGACTCCCAATATCTAATGTCCCTGACCCTTAGCTTTTTCTTTCTGTTATCTGAACCAAAACCAAAATCATAACAACACATGCACAAACGCACATGCTCTCACACAGACACGCGCACGTCCCTGCTTTGTACTTCAGGCCTATGTTGGGCAGCCGCACTTGAACCTCCTTACAAACTGTCCTAAGAAATGTATATGCGCGTACACATTTTGATTAAGCTATTTAAAAGCAACACTGCTAAGGAAATCACATGCTATTCTTCATAGGAGAACAAAAAGAAAGGAAAAACTAATTTTAAAATCAGACTATATTCCCCTATGTTATTTAAAAAAAAAAAAAGAAAACATAAAAGAACCAATCTGAGAGTGTATTAGTCTCGAACAGTGAGATCCAGTAAGTATGAGAGGTAGTTACAAATGTTTTGAAAAATCTAACAATGCTTTAAGAGTCTTCTCCAATACGAAGAACATAATATAATGGTGTGAAGGATTAAGAGCCAAGAGTCAATCAGACAAAAAGCTTATTGTATGTTTAATAAATTATTCTCAGATCATTTTCAAGGAGAAGTGTTTGGCAAGCTTCAACCATTTCCCAAAGGACTGAGGCAGTGATTTGCACCCGGATGGAAGACAGTCATGGTCAAGGAAACTAGACAAGATACTGAGACTCTGCTTAAGAGAGATTTACATTCTTTGGCATCTTGTACTCCTAGGAGAAGCGGCTCTGTTTTGTGGAACTCATACACTTCCATGGTGTAAGTTCTCCCAACACGGCTCACATTCAACTAGCAGCATTATGTCTTAAAGGTAGAGCTGGTGAGAGCTGTTTTTGTGGCCCCGCGTAAAGTGTTAGCACTGTGCCAATCAAGAGGGGTAAATAACCTCGAACGCAGAGATCATGGTAAAATGTGATAAAATAATTAGGAACTGGTAAATTTTGAGTACTGCTTTTGATTTTAATAAAACTTATTTAATTTTTATAATGGTGTGTTTAACAAACGTTTGGCAGTATTTCTAAACATTGAGCAATTGGCTCTCACGAGCCAATGTGGGCTGATTCTAGCAAACCACTGATGCTATGTTCCCAGAAAAGTATGAATGTCAGTGATTTTCTTTAATAGCTATTCTTAAACACTGGGAGAATACAAGCTAATTTTTTAGGGGGGTAAAAAAACCCTTTAGCTCCTGCACCTAAACAAAGAAGTTAGTTTTCGAAAATATGCAGGCCTTTGAAATTACAATTATCACAAGGCTGGCTTTCACTACAGGGTGCAGGTATAACCCATAGAACTTGGTCTAGAGAAAACATCATATAGTATTTTACAGAACTTTTAGCAACAAGGTGGTTCTTGAGTTACAATTCAGGGTCCCTCTGAAACATACAGGTCCCCATGGCCCCCACACCGTCCACTCTTCTGGCCCCCGAAAGGAAAAACTCTACCATAAAGCCTCTCTTACTCTGGAGTTGTAAATTACAGAAAAAAACAATTTATAATGAAAATAATTTATAACATATTTTATAAAGACACACCAGAAATTTGCTTATTTTTTTTATTCCATGAGAAGAACAGAGCACTGTATCTGTCAGATAAATGTTGCCTGACGAAGGAGGAAAACTAAGAGGCCATTGGCTTTCAATGCGACTTCAGGAGGACACCTGGAAACGAGACCTTGTTGAATGTGTAAGTCTCAGGGAAGGTATCCTCCCATCTCGTATTCTCCAATTTAAAGAAGTAGTACACAGTTCTTAAATTTTAATTGATGGGCAAGGGCCTTATGTCGTGCGTTATGCAGGTGCCAACTTACGAGCTGTCAGTCTGCATATACAGAAGAAAAGTCCCCTGGCTTGCAAAGAAACTGAAATAAAGTAGCCGTTAGAGCAATTTCGTCCCATAGGTGTTCTTGGATACAACATACAATGAAGAAAGACAATCTGACTGAAAAAGCATTCAGTAGTACATAAACAAGAAAAACTCTAATGTAAAACTATGAAAGTCCCAATGCTCTGAAGCATCAGAGATGGAACTCACATCGTATTTAAATGAAAGCTAATGCCACTAATAGGCCAGGCTTTGTTTTATCTAGGTCTATAGTTTACTTCTTCCATGCACTCAACTTAATCAGACATGTACAGAGCACATCTGTTGTGTTGTGTGGCCTGCAGGCTGGGCCCCGAGTCCTTAACTTTGCAGGCTTGACATATCTTTAACTCCCTGAGTTATTGAGGTCAACCTCAGGATCATAAATCAAGAAATTCCAGGAAAATAAAAACTCTTGTTCACATTTTGCAATTAAAAGAAAGTTAAAAGAAAGGGATTCCTAATACAGGGTAACTACTTTTTGAAGAGTCAAGTGGCTGTGCTGTATGTTTTTAATTTGAAACCATCATCTTGATATGTTTAGGGGTTTAATTTATGGAACAATCGAGCAACCTTTATATTTAACATTAAATGCCTGAATATTATAAATCACCTTAGATGAACATTTATGGGAGAGTTTCAGTGCAACTTCTGAACAACTTGTCACTTTTACTGTGGAGCAATGATTTGTAAAAAACGATATGCTAAGTAATCCCAGAGCATAATTTAGGGACACAAAAACAAGTGTCAGGAAACAGCCAGAGCCTACATTGAATGAAATCTTTACAGACTGAAGTAATAAGTCTTAAATTAATCAACACAGCTTAATTGAAGCTCTATTTGTAACATTTTTTATTAGACTTGTTATTAATGAACCTCTAAATGCTACCACTAACTTGAGCTCTATGTTAAATTTAAATAATGAACCATTGTTCACACACACAAAAGAACACACACCGCTTTAACAGCCCTTTGTCTCCATGGGGCTCCTTCTCTCACGCATAGCTAACATGAAGACTGGTCCTTCCTTCCTCACATGGTTATTTACGCAGTTGGCAAGATACCATCTTTAAGGCTGCTACCATGGTCTGAAATAACTGAAGTGAAATCCTTGAGAAGACAGTCAGTGAAGACTGAACATTAGAAAACATTTTTGGTTGCCCTCAAAGATAATGTTTTCAAATCTGGGCTGGTAGAATTCTGTATTAACCTCCCACTCACGGATGTCTTGGGATGATCTGCTCTGGGTTGGTAAAGACTTACCTGAACATGTCTCCCAAGCCCTTCAGCATTCCCTTCTTGGCTTTCATTTTCTCTTTCTCCTTGTCTCGGTCTTTCTTCTTCTCTTTGCCAGCTTTCTCCTTTCTCCTATCCATCTTATCGCCTTTCTCTTGGTTTCCATTCATGTGTCTCTCCAGAGAATGTGAAGGCTGATCACTGGCTGTGGATACAGACTCTCTCCCTGATCTTGAACTTTCTTCTGTGTCTTCTTCCACTTGGAAGGGAAACAAAAACAAAAATGGATAAGGAATACAGTGAATCAAAAGAACAAAGTGAAGGAGGCTAAAATATATGTGAGGATTTTGCTTTCCCACATTTTCTACCGTTGTTCGGCCCTGCTATCAACGTGGATTGCAAAGCTATTTACTTTTTAAGTTTTTATTTATCTAAGTAATCTCTACACCCAACATGGGACTTGAACTCACGACCCTGAGATAAAGAGTCACATGCTCTTCCGACTGAGCCAGCCAGGCACCCCTGTGCTATTTATTTTTGAGGAGAATTAGAATTGAACATGTGATGTGGATGACTACCAAGCACATGAGTATTCCTATGTGAAGATCATGTGCCAACGGTAAGAGAGAAGCAGCTTCCTGGCCAGATATTGATTCTTTCACTAGGGCTAACATCCTCCCTGATGCAGCCATGCACTACTGGAGAGATTAGTAGGTCCTTATCACACAGCATAGACCCTGTGTTCCGTATTTGCAAAATGCAAAGAAAACAAGCAGCCCCTCCTCAAGTGCTTCCTTTCCTCATGGGTCAGGATAATGTAGATCCACTCTGGCCCCTCATTAATTTGTGAGACTACACCATTCACTAGTAAGCACACCAATACTAGCATAAGGACTTCTTTCTTCAGGCTCCCAAATACGTCCATTTGTGATTTCTGCACACAGAAGACTGGATCTTTACAGTCTCTGTAACTTTTCCTCATACTGTCATTACATAAGGCTAACATCATAAGCAAATGCTACTGCATCTTCTAATCCTAAATAACTCTGCATGTCCATCTACACAATGACAAGGAAACAAAGATGGATGACACCATGAAAATGTGTAAATCAATAACCTCACACTCCCCTGAAGTTCGCAGATACAAGACCTACTTATTGATAACAATATTCTGTTCTTTGAACCAACACTCGGCAAGCATATGGTTCAAGGGCACTTCAATACCCCAAACTTTTTGATTGGAAAGAATGACAAGTAACTAGGGTAGGTTTCCACCTACCAAAAGAATTTTAAGAATTTCTATATTAAGTAAGAAACAATATATGTACATATTAGCAGCCACTCTCATTAATCTTTTCTGAGATTGGTTGCCTAAGATTTTCTTCCAAATAGAGTAAGAATTATCAGGGCTTCAGATTATTATTCTCCTGCATCAACAAAGTATGAATCAATGTTTTTGAGCTTCTCCTAACACAGAACCAAATAGAACAGTTAAGCCTCTTCCCAATATTTCACAAAGAACTGACCTCTAAGTCAAGTTAATACATCTTCAAGTGAAATTCAGTCTTGCCTCTCCACCACCAAGGGACACTTGAGTTAGTAATACACAATATCAAAGTATAATAAGACCAGTTAAAACAATCTCAGTATCTTAGTGTTCTGCTATTAAACCCTCACAAATCTGAGAAAAAGATGATCAGTAATGGCATGACCACTTCAAAGTAATACAGTTAAAAAAAAAATGCCAGCTACTTAGCATAATACCAATTCCTTTTGTTGACACATTTGGTTGAAAACATGAGCCAACATATTTCTCATGCCAGCAGGTCATGCCTTCGTACAGCTCAAGAATAAAAGCATCGCCATGTCTAAATCCAGAAGGTACTTCAGAGGTCATTTAGACCAATATCTTCCATTTCTTGCTGAAGAAACAGAAAGGTTTGGGGCCAGCATACTCCCAGTCCAGGGCTCTTTCTAGTATTATGTCCCATACAGTTGTACTTCAGCAAGACCTTCGTGCATTTCTTTCATCAACTGTTTGTGATTGCTCAATTCCATGCTTCACACAACACACATCGAGGTAATCTATCACCCAGTCACTACACAATCTACCCAGAAGATAATTCCAGCGGTCAGCATTGTATTTCAGAAACCTATTGTCAATCCTGTGTATTCATTTAATGCCATGACTTGTGGTTCATACTGATGAAATCACTCAAGAAGCCAGATCAAATGCACACAAAACTCTAGGACTGGTTAGCAACCACAGAAATGACTTTAGAAAGGTGTGCCTCTTATGCAGCCATCAAAAGGAATGAGATCTTGCCATTTGCAAAGACATGGATGGAACTGGAGGGTATTATGCTGAGCGAAATAAGTCAAACAGAGAAAGACATGTATCATATGACCTCACTGATAATGAGGAATTCTTAATCGCAGGAAACAAACTGAGGGTTGCTGGAGTGGGGGGTGGGGTGG